CCTCTAACCATTTTTGCGATCAACCGATCGCTCAGATGCCTCAACCGCCTCTATCTGTTGACACGCATCCCTATATGCTACCAAAAGCATTACAAGAGCTTTCTGACGAAAAGGTTGTGGAACATTTGGCAGAAATGGAAGCAATCTCGGAGACATTGTTGGATAACAGCCTACCAAGTACTGAGCCTGCAGGAGACTTCCATCCGCAAAAATCCATTGACTCCTCGAGCCACTTAAAGATACTTAAGACTAAGCAGTTGGTGATGGAATGTGTGATGCGGAAGCTTCTGCGTTCGATGAAACAAATTCAAGACCCAGACCCGGAGAGAAAAAATAAGACCGAAAATGAGGCTGAGCAAAGGCTCAAAATGGCTCGCATGATGCAGCTGCTGATGCTGCAAAGGAAAAACCTTCAGCAACAAGTTGACGTTCTAACACAGAATTATGACAGTCTTTTGCAGAAACACCAGTGCTTGAAGACCTATTCGGAGGGTTGTGTTTCAGAGAACCTGGAAGTGAACAAGAAGTGTCGTAAACTTCAGACTGAACGCGATAGCAAGGAGGCGCAAATCAAGGCTCTGATGCAACTAAGCTGCAAATTACAGAAGAAACTCGAGAGTCATGCACACACGGAGTTGGCATTGGAGAACACAAATCTCGAATTGAAGCGACTCGTCTGCGACAATGAAAATCTCAGAGCAGCTAATCAGCAACTGGAAACATCCTGTACTGAAAATTTAAAGGAACGTGAAAGCCTGACTCTACAAAATAATCAACTGAAAATGGATTTGGATAGAATTCGAACAGAATTGGCAAATCAGCGGGTTCGTACAGAAAAAGTCTCGGCAGAAAATGCAAATCTCCGAAATCAATTAAGCATTGCAGAGGCAGGAAGTAAAACTGCAGCAAAAAAGAGTGTTGAATACGGTCAGTTGAGAGAAGCCTACGAAAACCTTCAATATGACCACCAACGTCTGCAGATGCTTTACATCTCGGAGACTGAAACTCGACGTGAATTGCATAACCAATTGCAGGAGGTGAATGGAAACATTCGGGTAATTAGTCGTTTCAGGCCAGCTGAAGAATGTGATGAGGTTGTGGAATCCCCTTTTGAATTTTGTGCGATGGACAAGATTTTTGTTTGTGGAAAATCCATCCCAATTTCTGTGGCCTATCAACGCCAGTTAGGCTACAATCAGCCGCAGGCATATACAGCCCGGGATGAGTTCTTTGCATTTAATCGAGTCTTCCAGGAGAGTGCTAATCAAGCAGACATCTTCGAGGAAATCCAACCAATCGTTGGGTCCTTCGTGGATGGCTACAACGTGTGCATTCTAGCGTATGGACCCACAGGAAGTGGGAAGACCTACACTATGCAAGGAACTAAAAGTTGTCCTGGCATCTGTCGGCGTGCCGTTACGGAGGTGTTTTCTCTTTGTGATCCTCTTCAAGGTGTTTGGTGCACTGAAATCAACGTTGCTATGTTTGAAATCCACAACGAGGTGATATACGACCTTCTAGCTCCACAAATTACCCCCGTGAAGCTCTGCGACAACGGATCTGATGTGCGATTGGTGAATGCAGAAGAGAAGATCACAACATCGGAGCAGGAGACAATGCATTGGATAGAGAAGGGCTACATCAGACGCAAGGTGAGCTCCACCCGGCTGAACAGTGAGTCTTCGCGCTCCCACCTCATCATACGCATGCATCTCACGCTGGTCAGTACGTTAGACAATCAGCGTAGAACCTCCTCCCTCGTCCTATGCGACTTAGCTGGTTCAGAGTCCGCGGAACGCATAGAAGCCGACGAGGCGCTCCATATGGAGACGGGTTACATTAATCGATCTCTTGTGACCCTAGCACGAGTGTTTGAGACGCTTCGACGAAAATCGGGTCAATGTGCCTCAACGGGATTGGCCATACCTTACCGAGACTCCAAACTGACCCATTTGCTCAAGCCCTGCCTAGGCGGACAGGCCAAATGCGTACTTATTGTGACGGCGTCGCCGGAGCAAAAGCATTTGGACCGCACATTGAAGGCTCTTGAATTCGCTCAAAGAGCGATGCAAGTATCTCTTGGACGACCGGCAAAGAATAACCGAATTCTGGTGTCCAATCAGACACCTAGGTCTTAGACACCATTCGATTACCACCTTCCTTCTCCCATATCTTGGTTGTACAGATCTTCTAAGATCGCAATTTTTTGCCACTTTTGCTCATAATATTGGATGTAGCTGGATTGAGAACAGTCTAGCAATTTGATTTACTTCGCATTCTTTTCCCCTTCCTTGCTTTCTCTCCCCTTAATTTCAATCATTCGCGTCCCCTCAGCCTTCTAGTCATGAGTGCTAGTCAGTGTTTTA